GAACGGGCCGGGCTGGCGGCGGCAGCTCGGACGTTTTTGCCGTTCTCTGCCTCCGCTGCGGGGGGAGCGCGGTGCCCGGCTCCAGCGGGAGGGCAGAGCCTGGCGCGGGAGGAGCCCCGTTCCTCGGGCAGAGGTGTCCGGGGGGCAGGTCGCTCAGAGGGGTAAGATCTGGGGGTGCGGGATGCGCCTCCACCTCTGCTCTCCCCTTTCTGCTCTTTCCCGAGCTGCTCTTGGCTAAGTCGTTATCATAGAATCATCGAATGGTTTGGGTTGGGAGGGACCTTAAAGCTCATCCAGTCCCAACCCCCCTGCCAGCAGCAGGGACACCTTCCACTAGACCAGGTTGCTCAAAGCCTCATCCAACCTGGCCGAGAACACTTCCAGGGAGGAGCAGCCACAACTTCCTTGGGCCAACCTGTTCCAGTGTCTGACCACCCTCACAGTGAAGAACTTCTTCCTAATATCTCATCTAAACCTCCCCTCTTTCAGCTTAAACCCATTTCCCCTTGTTTTGTCATTAACTGCCCTTAGGAAAAGTCCCTCCCCAGCTTTCTTGTAGCCCCTTCAGGTACTGGGAGGCTGCTATAAGATCTCCCCGGAGCCTTCTCTATCTCAGCAGCTGTCCCATCCTGTGCACACTTTAACTGTTTATAAGAAGTCAACCAGTTCCACTTTGGAGCTGGTGTTTTAATAAAAAAGTTTTCCTTTCAGGCCCTCTCTAGATGCCTGGATTGTTATTCTACCGTTAAACTCTTTGTTAAAGTTCTCGGAGGTGGATTTGGTGCGTTACTGTGGGTAAATAAATCACAGTCTTTTCCCTTCCTTAGTATCTTGCACAACTCCCATCCCCTCCTCTGTCTCCTCTGGACTCCATGCTGCCTTCAACACAACCTGTCTCTATTGCAATATGCAGAATGCTCATGATCTCGTTTAAATTTTAACACGTAAGACAAAGGACTGTTTCCTGACATGGCTTGGAATAAATTATTCAGAAGTAGCAGCAAAAGAAGTAGAGAGATGCTTGAACACGAGGAAACTATAAACGTATGGGAAAGTGCTAAGAACATGGAATGGTGTTAAAAATGTGGGAGCACAAATTTCAGGGCATCTTAGTGTTCTGGTTTATGTCTTTTCTAGCAATTCAGATTCCAAATAACTCTGCTTAGTTTTCCATTTGAACATCCCAGCAGCAGCTACTGCCTTTTAAAGAGATTTTTTACCCAAACAGGCCTGATGGTCTTAATGTACCTGTGGCTTTAATGGAGGAAACAGAACAAAAACACAAGAGGGGAGAAAGTAGATCCACAAACAGTGATTGCTCCGAGCTGCAGTGGAATGCTTGGGCATCAACACCAGCTTATTTTCTGCACAATTAAACTAGATGTTGTTTTCTCAGTATTTTACTGAAACTGTCCTTCCGTGTAAGGTGTGTGTCAATGAGCAACCTGTTATCTCTGCCAAGGGAGGCGCCTGATGAATGCCCCGCTACTGTTTCCTGGGCAAAACTGCCTCTTGTTTTGTGAAAGGCAATTTAAACTGCAAAGTGGGGCTTCAGGTGATCTCCTTTTGGCTCCAGATTAATCATAAAACAGAGTTTAAACTGTAGCATTACGTGGCTGATTCAGATGTGGGTTTTTTAATGTGGACATATATATTTTTCAGAAGTAAATGCTTTCTGTAATCTCTGCATATGTTTTCTGTGGCTTTTTAAAATCTATATGGTGTTTGCTACTGGGCATTGACACAAGGGACTACATCTTGTCATCACAGCAATGCACATTTATTTGCTTGTGCAATATGGTTTTTAAAAAGGGAGAAAATTGAGCACTCATCTGATATTCTAACTAGATCTTTTTGATTCGTGGATGATTATTTGTGCAGGTGACAAAGGATGGTAACTCTTTTAAGCCAGCCAAATGGAGAACATCCTTCTCTTAGTCCAGTCTGGACAAAAGTGTGCAGGTTAACAGAAGAGGATAACTTGGTGATGCAAATTGTTTCCAAGAAAACATGAATTTCAGAAATTAACTCTTCAGTCTGAAGGTTCTCTTACCAGTTGGAAGGGGCGATGGATGCGTTTCAGAAACTGCCTAAAAGTGGGAGGTGCAAGTCTGAAGCTGCATCTGGGAATGTACCGTTGATAAGTAGTTTCAGGGTGTTTCAACATCGCGACAAAAATAGTGTAACTTTTCTGGTTTGCCACGATTGTTCAACCTGTACATCTAAAAGCACCATCTAAATCACTATCTTGACAAAACATGTACTGGCATGGTGTGTCATTCTCTCCATTACATCAGGTGAATTAAGGAATGTTAGAGAAAGTCCCATTCTTCCTGACACATCCACCAAGACATCAACGTGTTCATCTGCTGCTTGTCTTCTCTCTGCGCAGCAGCAGGGTGCAGCACTCAAGAGGTTCCTCTGGTTCCAGCACCAGGTGGACACTTCACATCCCCAGAGCTCCCCTTTCAGCGCTGGAAATTGCTGAGACTCACAACTCTCAAAATCAGTGAGACTCGGCTTGCTGCAGATGAATTCTTCGGGACTGAGGTGTTACAGAATCCCAAGGTTTTGTTGGTTTTGAGCAGTTGATGCCTGTGAAGATATCTGAAAACTGGTCTTTCTGACATTTTATATCAAGCTGTCTTAAGGTGCTTCCATTTACGGTGTGACTAGTGGTCAAGAAGACCTGTACTCAGGCTTCCAGAGTTCTGTAACCTAATGGTGAGAACAAGACCAGAGGAGGCCACGAGGATGATGCGAGGGCTGGAGCAGTTCTGCTGTGAGGACAGGCTGAGAGAGTTGGGGCTGTTCAGCCTGGAGAAGAGAAGGCTCCGGGGAGACCTTCCAGTGGCCTCCCAGTACCTGAAGGGGCTACAAGAAAGCTGGGGAGGGACTTTTCATAAGGGCAGTTAATGACAAAACAAGGGGAAATGGGTTTAAGCTGAAAGAGGGGAGGTTTAGATGAGATATTAGGAAGAAGTTCTTCACTGTGAGGGTGGTCAGACACTGGAACAGGTTGCCCAAGGAAGTTGTAGATGCCCCCTCCCTGGAAGTGTTCAAGGCCAGGTTGGATGAGGCTTTGAGCAACCTGGTCTAGTGGAAGGTGTCCCTGCTGATGGCAGGGGGGTTGGAACTGGATGAGCTTTAAGGTCCCTTCCAGTCCTAACCATTCTATGATTCTATGGTGCAAATCAGTTAAAAGAATTGATGGAAAATATGAGACAGAGCTCAGCCTGCCTGATGTGAGCATTGTAGGATCAGTCAGTGCACTTGCTGCGGGCATTGTATGACCAGGGATAAAAGAAAAGAGGAAAATAGGAAAGGCGTTGCCGTACAAGCTTTATTTTTGTCTTATCAGAACTCTTTACGTTAATATCCCCTCCTTTCCTCCTCCACAAAAGAAAACTAAGTATGTTAAAAAAATAAATAAATTCTGATGCAGCCTTGTTGGCTTCTGTGGTGAAAAGCTGAACAAAATCTCTCCCCGTTTGCAGCAGGACAGGGTAGTTAAAACTATTCCTTTAGGTAACTGATAGCTGTTGCAACTGAGGTTTACAGCTGCCTCCCTGAACACAAGACTGTTTCAGCTCGCAGAGGGAACTGCTGCTGCATTAAGAATGAACACCACAAGAGTGAATGAAAAATGTCTGCATAGGAATTACATCCTCTTAGGTTTCATAACTCGAGCCTTCTTACATAAATGCCAGCACATTTGGTTTAGAAACAAGTACAAGAGAAGGGCGTATTAGGGCTTCCTGGAGCCCGCCTGGGTATAGGAAATACAGAGCTTCACATGAGCATCCTCTTCAATCACAGCTTGCTTCTCACTCCTGTTCTGGCTTACAGCTTATCTCTCACCCCTTTCATTGTGGTTAGTGTTTTTATCAAGGACACCATCTCAATGGCATCTGCAGAGGAAATTATAATTTTAATCTGATGACAGTTGATGAACAAGATCCTGAATGATCAGGATTTAGTGGCACTAGCATGCCCAGAGCACCTGAACGGTGACTTAATATCGAAGCACTTTGTGAAACTACTTCTCTGCTCACATAATTCAGATTGCTGACACTGTCCTTTCTTCCTGAGCAGGTTTTTGTGGTGATAAGATGGAGCCTTCCCCGTTTAATAGAAGACAATGGACTTCGCAGTCTTTGAAAATCACCGCAAAAGAGCTTTCTCTTGTCAACAAGAATAAGTCCTCGGCTCTTGTGGAGAGGTTCTCCAAGTAAGTGCTGTGAGGCTGCTGAACACAAGCTGGGTTGTGTAGGTTGACAGCTGGTACCTTGCACAATGACTGCTTCACTGCCAGTTGCTTTGCTTCTTAAAAATAATATAGCTCTCTAGGCATTTCAGTTTCTGGTTTAACATGTGCTGGGCTAAAGTTTTTCTAGTTGCTGACATATTTTTTTCAGCAGTCAGAATTAATATTTTCTTTCTGCTGTCAGAAAATAAAGTAGAACATTTTCTGTCAAACTACAAATTGTAATTTGTTTTTGAGGACAGTTATTGGAATGTAGGTGGCTATTGCTGTTAGGGTTTTACTTCAGCTGAAATGGTCTTTAACTGCTTAAGCACCAACTACATAGGTTTCTCTGTTAACATGGCATTTCCTGCCTGGTACTGTAAAAAGTAGCAGTAATGTGTTATCAGTTAATTGGAAACCAATTAGAAACAGTCATTCTGTCAACTGTGGGTGGTAGATGTAACCCTCTAGTCAGAGTTCCATCAGAGAATTTCACCGTAGCTGTGTTCTTCACAGATGTCCCCTTCCAGATGTCTCACAAAACTTGTGTAGAAAAGGAATATGACCCTTCCCTTTTCTCTGAGAGATGGATGATGGGTTACAGTCAAACCATAAAGTAATATTTTGTACCCTGAGGAAGCTGAGTGGTGGTAGCCTGTACATGTTCTCTGGAAAAGCTTTTGTTTCCTTAAGGAATTATATAGACTGCAGCTTGGATTTTCAATGGGATTTGGGCAATCGAGACTCCTAGGTTATTGCATTAATAGCATAGCTGGGGTTTGGAGTATTTAAATCTTGAGTGTGGAAGAAACTTTCTGGAGTCTATAGTGGAAGGATAACTGCAATCTGGACTTTACACAAACCTAGGTCTAAGTTACTCTGTCTGAGGGAGAAGCTGCTTGCTTTGACCACTCTTGTTAAGGTAATTTATTCACTCATTGAAGCTTGATTACAGAACCTGGTCATCTTGCTATATGTTGATAATCCTTTGAAAAGGGCTTACTGGAAGTAATCCAAACTGCTATTCCTTAATCAAGTAGGGTCCCTTTACATAAGCAGTGTCAGTTCCTTGGAAAAACACAGTCCTACTTACTGGCTTTGCCAACACCAACACTCACAGTGAGCAGTGTAAATTTTCTAAATTGCTGTTACCTAAATATTTGTATTTGAAAGCATTTTTTTTCATTCAGTGTAGTGTTTAGATTTATCAGTTTTGTCAAGTGAGAGACATGCAAATTGCAACAGAGACTTAAATTTAGCTAACTTACAGAGTGAGGACTGTCTGGGACTCTTCAGTCCTGGCTTGCTTTTCAGTGTGGTGCTTGACTTTCATCCCCGTGTCTCTCTTTGTTGCTTCTTCCAGTATTGATCTCTCTTCCTCCATAAACTTACTTTCTCAGCATGACTTGTTCAAATTTTGGAACCTGTGTAGTACAGAGACATAGGTTAATAGGCTTGCATTGATTAGAGAGCCAGCTACACTCCTTCAGCAGCTTTCAGCCTGTACAATAAATGCAGTTTGTAGGACAGAAATAAGCGAGAGTGCAATTTGTCTACTCTCTAGTGTAAGAAGAGGAGAAATCTACATAGGAGCACACTGTTCACAGCAGGATAAAAAAATCAATTGTTAAAAAGAAAAAATAAGTAATAGAGCAGGTATCTGCATGTAAGAATTTTTTTCTTAGAAAGAACTGAGCCCATGATACACATTAGTTATTGGTTTGATACCAACAATTATTTAAAGTCTGAATCTGATGACTGTTATAGTATTAGTGTCTCATTTACTGTCTGGAACATATTCACAGTTGTATCAAAAGTAGAATTCCACGTATAAGAAACATCATTTGCCCAAGCAGATGCTGGGTGACATTTCTTCTCTTATGAAAAGCAGAGCTCTACTTACAAATGGCAAAATTTGTCCCATCTGACTAATCTGAGCATTTCAAAAGCAAAGTGCAGAGTATACTAATCAGCACGCTCTGTGTGCTCCTCGCTGTGGATGTACTTATGCCCAGTGGAGTGGTGTGCAGATTGCTGGGAGTTTTCTATAGCTTCTTAAAGGACTTTGATTCATGATCCAGGGTGGCTTATCTTCAGAGGGTTGTGATTACTGTTTCCACTGCCGGGATGGTTCAGCTGCTCATGAAGCAACTGCTGAATTGGTGCAGTTTACAACCCAGCATAGTAAAATAAACTGGCACTTATGTAGATTTTCTGCGTATGCCAAGCTGTAATTTGTTACGGTTCAGAAAAATGCTGTATAAATAGCTGAGTTATTCCTGCAAGGGGGCACAGCAGACAGCTGGGTGGCGGAAACAATACAGCTATTCCAAGGTAAACTGTCTATATTTGAGGATCAGCGTGCTTAGGTAATGAAAAATACTAATGTCTGTTATTACAGTAAACTGAATGACTTAAAATGTGTCTACTGCTTTGCATTGTTCTGGTACTATTTGTTACTTTATTTGATAGGTCTGGGAAGTACACAGAATCCTTGGTGGGGAAAAAAAATCTGAGGTGTCTTCAAGACCATTCAGTATTCTGGTTAAAAACTGTTTGTCTTTTTTCTCTCCTCTCTCCTCTCTCTTCTATCAAAGGTATCAGAAAGCGGCTGAAGAAGCCACAGCTGAGAAAAAAAGAAGTGTAAGTATTGGTTTCCTAGGCAATAAGCAACAGCTTGCAATCAGAACGGGTCACCTCCATGCAATGTTTCTGTGACAGTTCATTTTTGGAATATCAAAATTGCTGCCATGTGTCCTACAGAAAACTTGGCTTAGAGATAGTGCTTGCTTTTGCCTCATTCCCCCTACCCTTTCCCAGTGTGAATGAAAGGAAAGAAAATCAAGTTCCTTGCCCAAAGCTGTATATTGAATCACCAATTCGCTCCTAAGCAAAAGGCAAAACGAGTTAACCACAACACATGAATATCCACTGCTTTGTTCTTAGCTGTAGGCACTTGTGTGGTGCCTCTTCCTTTCTTAACTCATTTTAAGAGCCTGCTTAAAAGAAGCTGCCAGCCTCTCTGAAATCTAACGTGTATGTCTTTGATAGCTGGAGAATCCATTAAGGGGGATCTTCTCTGAAGTGGCTTTATAGGGTTCAAAATGCCCCTGGCTGAGGCAGAGCCATCCTTTTTGTTACAGCCTCACATTCCCTCCTGTAAACTACATTGCATTTAATGTTCTGGGGTCAGGGGACCCTGGCTGAAATACCAGGCGCTAAGGTTTGCAGGTCTTTGTATAAGCAGATCCTCAGTTTCATTCTTATTTAAAAAGATTGATGATGTTTTCAGGATATATAGGTAAGTCTTTGTTAGACCATGCTGCCTCCATGTCTTTAATGGTTGGGGAGTCATTCTTTTTCTGTTTGGGATATAGGTGTGATAAAATTCTAAAAATTACTCTCCAGTTTTAAATTTTCTTCATTGCTTCATGATCAGGGAACAGGCAAGTCCCAAGCAAGAATGTCTTGTGTTATGAACTATGCCAGGACTCCACAGGCATCTGGTCCAGAGGTGTTCTGTGGAAACCTGCTGCTGAATTTTCAGTATTTCTGTTACATTACAACATTTGCCTTATGACTTTATTACTTTTTTTTTAAATACAGTCAGCAAGCAAGCTGATCTTTTTTGAAGTCTAGGTAGATTCAAGTTAATTTGCAGAGCAGTGTTCAAAATGTGACCAGAAGAGTAATAGGGTGAGAGACTTAAATCCGAATATAGCTGCTAATCCTGTTTAATTCCTGTAAGCCTTGCAGACCTGTTCCACTTGCAATGAGTTTGATACATAGTGGTCTCCATACAAAAATGGAATGGTGGCAGGTATTCGATTTGAATGAATCAAACATGGGCTGGTCTGTTACTCTGGGGAGAGGTAACTACTTGTAAGCAAAATGAGCCTTAAAAAGCACTTGAATAGGAGGAGTACTACTGCTCTAACTCGTGGTAGTAAGGCAGTGCTTGTGACCTGTGTGTGTGCATCCTACTGAAAGCTTTCAGTGTGTTGAGTGAAATAGAAGAAAAATTCCAGCAATTGATCTGGTATGTATAAATGGGAGCAAAAAGACATTTGTTGTCAGTCTTAGCTTAAGCCTTAAACTGCGTGGTATAAAATCCTTAAGACAGATGTCTTGTAACTTAATTGCTACTGTTAACTGATAGTAGAAATGTTTAACTCCAAAAAAAGTAGTGGTTTCTGAAAGCTAATCTGTAGCTTTTTGGAAGGCCTACTGATTGTTGTCTTCTGAACCAGCTGGAAGACATTTGGCACACCACCCACCTCTCCTAGGGCTGCTTTTGCTATTGTTTGCTTGTTCTAGGACTAGAGACCCTTGTTATGTGGATTTTGGTCCCCTACCCTTCATGTGTGGATTCAAGCCTTTTGTGTGTCATTTAACTCATTAGAGCTTGACTCCCTTTTTCCTTATAAGGCCATCCTGTTTGCTCACTTCCTGCTTTAGCTCCTGACTTTTCTCTTCTCCCCCCTCCTTCCTTTCCTATCCTGGATGCTTTCTCCATGCGGCACAGTTGTAACTATTCACAGCTGTCTGAAAAAGCAGAGAGCTGAGCTCAGTACTGAGCCTTCAGCTTCCTTTCTCATAGAAAGGAAGTGCTTTAATGCTTCATCAGGCATATAACTGGAGTTAACTTCTTGTTCTTTGTAGAACACAGAAAATCTTCCCCCTCATTTTAAAAGGGGGAATCTGAGCGTACTAAAGAAGAAGTGGGAGAATCCAGTGCCGGGAACAGAGTTTCGGAAGGAAACGGGACGAAGCAGCTGTGCTGAGGTCAGGCATAAGGTCTCCAGCCCCGGGATAGAAGCCGGGAACAGTCCTGCTTCTTCCCCAGACTTGGAACAAACCCTGGGGGCTGGTGCTACGTCTGACACCCAGACCCCTTCCAGCACCCCTGGCCAGCTGCAGTGTCCTGGTGGTGACAGCAGCAAGTTTAAAAGCCACTCAGCAGAGAGTGGTAAAATGGAAAACTGTCTGAGAGAATCCAGAGAAGTGGAAAAGCCCGAAGCCAGCGAAAACGCAGACTCTTTGGGGAAGATTGAGAAATACAACGTTCCTCTGAACAAACTCAAGATGATGTTTGAAAAGGGTGAAGCGACTCAGACCAAGGTAAGGATCTGTCCCTTCAAATCTTAAGAGAAACTAAAACTCTGCTGCCTCTTGGGCATCAGGAAAAGTCCCTGGAGGGAGTGGCTCCGAACTATTGACTCTGCAAATAATTGTATTCATTGTTTTAGTTGAAACATAACGTAGCTGGTGTTAATAACTTATTTGAGCTATACAAATATGTGCAGAATGCTTGCAGTTGTGGCTACTTGTGATTGCTCGTTGGAGATGGAAAATGAATTTTCCTGTGAAAGGAGCACAATTTAAGAGAGGAAAATAAGTATGGAATTTATTAAGATTTTTTTTTTTAAAAGCAAATTTGGATTGTTTATATCTCATCTGAAGATTAAGATGAGTTATGTAAACATGAATTGCGTAAAAAAAATATATAAATGTATGTATTTTTTTATATATAAAAAAAAAAGTAACTGTTTGAAGTGAGCTCGACAGTCTCGGGTGGTTGCAGTTGAGATGGAAGTACTGCCAGAGTTAAGAGGTTTTTTAATGTATGTATCAGTATGTGAGTCACACATATGCACATATAGAGAGAGATAAAGTCCTGCGGAATATTCCCATCTCTTTCCTTGCTGTTCTCTCATCTTTGTATCTTAACAATATGTTTCTTATCGGGGAAGGAGGGGGGGAAAAAAAAATCCTCACGGCAAAAAATAAGCAGAGATATCCAGACAAGCTCTTGCCTTCACTAGTTTTGACTTGCAAATGCACGGGGCTTGCATTTTCCTACAACTGCTCATGAAATCTGATCCTGCATGTGGACTGCAGACTGCGTGTCCCCGGGGAGAATTGCTTAACTAGAAAATGAGTTGCATATGCGAGTGACTTGCAACATAGTCCTGAGGCCTTGATGCTGGTGGATTTTCCAGTTTTCTCATAGTTTCCTATACTTCTGGCTTTGTTTTACTGTGGGTGGTTTTCTAGCAGTATTGATTAAAACAAACAAATTTTGTACAAGAGTTGTTTATATATGTAACAATTAAGGGCTTCAGAGGAGCACCTCTGTGTTAAAGTGAGTTTTGGGTAATTTTACAACTGAGATTTTTGTAGCCTTTGTCATTATGTAAGAGCTGCCCACATTATCACATCCTCTGAAAGGACGGGCTGTGTGGAGGGTGATCTCCCGATAGCGCTGCTCTGAACTCTCTGCTGTAGGATTAACCAGTCAGGATTCCACAGGAAAGTCCCGTTTTGCAGATGGGCTTCAAGTAACTTTATCTTAGCCTGGGGGATAAATTGTTTCGGAGTTGACTGAATCTGGAACTGATATTTCTGTCAAGCTTAGTAATTCAAATATTGTTGAAAACTAACTGAACACAGTAAATACCATACTGTAGGTATGAAACTATTCAGGTTAGGTTCAAATATGTTCCTGTTCCCAGTTCATCTGGTTACTTTTTAATTTTAGAAGGGCAAAGACACAGAGTGCTCAGAAGTGTATGGGGAGAGGGAGTGTCCGTGTAATTAGAAAGCACTATTGTAAGGTTTTTGGTCTGGGAATTTATCTGAGGACTGGGGGATGATGTCATGCAGTCACGTACAATGAAGACAGTTAGGGGCTATGGGAACACAGATCTTTTTAACTAAGGTAGAAAGCAACTACAGTAATGGTTTAAGTTTGGCTAACTGGGAGCTCTGCAATTACCTTTTCTGTTTATGCTTTTCCTGAACTCCATCCGTTGATAAACCCCTGGTTTAAGTGCAAGCAAGGCTTCAGCTGATGGCAGTTTTCCTTGGTATTTACTCCAGTCTTAAGGTGTAAGTGCTGACTGAGCTTTGCTGACAAAACATCTGTATAAGCTGAGTAGCAACATGGCTGTAACTTCATGGCAGTAAAGATAAAACTACTTGCCTGGTTGCTGGGCAAGTCTGGCAAGAATCCAGATTAGAGCCTGGATTTCCTGACTCAATCACCCGCTCGAAACAAACCTATTCTTATTTTCACAGTTATAAGCAAAACTTCCTAGTTTATTAATTTATTCATTCAGATATTGCTCTTTCTTCTGCAATTTAGATACAAAGCAAATCTCTTTTTATTGCACCTTCATGGAAAAAAAATGATCTAACCATCTTAGAGGCAGACATGTCAGTCTACATTGCTTCAGCACTGAGCAAAGAGTGAACATCAGGTCTTTTATCAATTTCAAAGAATTCTGCCTGTAAGTGATAGCGAAAGCATACACAAGGAAGATCAGAAGAAAGAGCAAATAGATCTGCAATACTGCCTAAAAAGTTGTCTCCAAGTTGGTTGGTGTTTTTCCTTTAAGGTAAAAACTGACTCTCTTGTGTAGCTAACCTCATGTGCGGGTCACATTTGACACAGTGAGGATATCATGAAATAGGTGTAACTTTTATTTGGTCTTTTGCCCAACAACTCTTTGTGCCCCAGGGGAAAGGTTGTTAACTCTGTTTGTGGTACCTCTGCACTCACCTCTTTTGTTTTAGAACCTCGAGGCTTTCCAGACATGAGGAATATTTTATCTCATTTTTGCAAGTAGCAGAAGCTGTGGCATGGGAATTGCAGCCCAGGCAGGGCTGTAACTGAGCAGCACAGGCTTAAAGCTGGGAGTCAGGAATTCCTTCCTGCAAAAGGTGTTACCTTCCTTGAGCCATAATCACCCTAATTACTTGTGGTTGGTCAGTCTGTTAATTGTAGTGGAGAAAGTACCTCATCTTCCTTTTGTTAAACTTTTTTTTTCCTATTACTCTACTTTTTTCCCAACAATATAAAACTGTTGATATAAATTCTACACAATGTTGACTTTATATGTGTAGGTTTTTTTAGTGCTAGGATGTGTACAGAAATACCTCTGAACTCTAACCAAAGCTTTTGTATTTTGATGTTTTTGGATTTTTACTCTCCAGACCTTGGCTAATTGTGTTATACACAAGTTCTTCAGGTGAAATTGTAATACCTGTAGATGTCTGAGGTGGCAAAGAGGACAGGAGGAGAGGAGCTGGCAGGACTGGGGAGGTGATTCAGTTGACAGTTAGAGTACTCATTAACTCAGTCTGTTTTACCTGGTTATGAGATGGCTGATTCTGATAACTGAACTTTTCCTGCTGCAGTGGATGCCACAGCAAGGTGGTACAATGGGGGGAAAAGCTCTTTGCTCTGAAGTCAGAACTCACCAGCCTGCATGAAGGCTTTACAGGGTCAAGCAGAAGAGTCTGTTTCTGATGAATATTGAATCCTTTGTTGCTGGTAAAAATATGGAAGGTTTTGTATGCTTGGAAGAAAACCCTGATTTCATGCATCTAGATGAGGTCCCAGACCCTGATCCAGAATTCCTGTTGGTGGTAGCTGCCTGCACACTTGTCATAACTGTTTGACAAGATGCTGTTCCCTTGTGAACTCTTATTTAGAGGTTTAATTTGTTTAATAATTAATTTCAGCAATAATTGAGAATTCTTTGTCCTTTCAACATGAGGGCAGTTCAGCATGATAATTGCTGGAGAAAGACTACAGTGAAAAGAAATGGAAGTGAGTTTCTGAAACAAAGGAGAATGAGAAGAGGCAACCTGCATAAGTGTCCAGTCTTGATTTCTGTCTTATTTTCTCCTGAAAAGTGCTGATGGTTTCTTTCAGTGAGGTTGGAATTACTCTAAATTACTTAGAATTAAGACCTTTGTTCCCTAGTAGTGAAAACTTCCTTATGCACTCTGCTGCCTGTTAAACTTCCCCATGTGTCTATATTGCAAACTTGTTTTCTAATTTCTAGTTTTGTCACTCCTGCTGTGGGCCAGAAAACGTGTGTCGTGCCATTTTATTAAAAAAACAACCAAACAAAACCCAACAAGACAACAACAACAACAAAACCTCAAACAAAACCAGGGCAGTGATAAAATAGTGGTTTCAAGTGGCCTGATAAATGTGTTTTCTCTTCTGCATCCTCACTCAAAGGATCTTGCCTTCAAGTGTATTCTGCCTATAATGATCTTTGCAAAGTAGTCAAAAGCTGGACCCTTTGAATGACAAATTTCTGAGTTGTAAGAACTTCAGACTTGTGGGCTCAAGGTGACATTAAAGCAGACATAGGCTGAATAAGAATAATCTAAGGATAGTTTGTACAGAATGAGGAATCTGCAAGTCCTTACAAGTGTGCAGACACTCCCAAGCTGAACCTATCAACACACTCAATGGAAGGAAAAGACTTGTCATAGCTAAGCTCTTTTCCAGTAAGAAAAGTTACCAAAGTCTTAAACCACAGAAACAGAAAATATTTCCCATGCTAATGGAAAAAAAGAGGTTTTCCAGCTGCATTTTCCTTTCCTGGTCAAGTTGCTGTTTGGTATGCCAAAGTAGCCTGATTTTTCACAGTGATTATCTTACAGTGCAGTTCTGTTAAAAGAAAACTTTGGAATTTCCTTCAGTTTGGTGACCAGCAAATAAGAAACTTGTTGGAAGTCGGGGGGTGGGTGGGGGAGAATGTGTGGTTGGAGCATCTTGCCAAACCTGCCTTTTTCCCT